GTTAATACTGCTATTACTAACAGCCAGCTTGATATTATTTCAACGAGCAGCTTTCTCATTTTGTTGCCATTCTGATATTGCCATTTTCTCCACTCTTTGTTATCAGTGCTTTCTTCTTCTTCGCTTCCTCCTGTCTCCTCGTTGCAAGCTGCTCACAATTTTGTCATTTTTGCAAGTGCTTTCATTTCTGATTTTATATTTTTAGTATTATTTTGGTACTGTATTGTAGTATTATATTCTAGTATTATATGCTAAGTATTATTTTTCACTCCATTTTGTTTGGTATGAATCTCTCTTCATTAACAGTAATACGGCATCCCAGGTTCTCACTCTGACCGTAAGCCACTTTTCTGCTACTTTGATCAGTTGTTGTTTCATCGCGACGTCTGCATCAGCTTTTCCCCATGTTTAATGTAACCGAAGATACTTCCCTTGGTCTTTAGAGGGTTACCATGCGTTTTAGCGATTATCTGAAACGGTTGCTGCATTTTATTTATGATTGTCATAGCAGGGTGGGATTTTTCGGTTTCAAATGGGGCTGTATTGGTTGCGGCATTCGTCCTCTGCTTTTGGTTAGTGGCCCTGTATTTGCCCTTGGCTTTCTTTCATTCTTTCGTTATGCATGGAAATGCTAGTTCCTGAGGCAATGTGTAAAAACATGCGTCTAAATATTTCACTTCCTTTCCGGGCCATGAACTGCACCTGTAGCAGGAAAAGCCAGTCCCAGAGCAGTTTAGCAGTTTCCGGGGGCATCGGACTGCATGTTTTTCGGTGGGCATGGATGCTGTGTTACTTTTGTAGTGAGATTAAATTTTGTTATGTTACACTCTCTGTTGTTAGGTTGGCTATGCTTTTCAGATATTGTATTTTTTTTTTTGGTTTTGGTATTAAATGCTGCAAAATATGCTTTCCTATTAATGAAACGCAAAACAGTAAGCAGCGCTGCGAAGAGGGAGCCATCGTTGTAATCAGCTACGACACTCACACTTACAAGTGAAGCTTCGATGGATACAGCTTTTAAAGAGCGCGTGCTTAGAAGCAAACTGATGGCGGGCTTCATTTCCTGGTC